AATACTTAAAGTCAAGGTTATTTAAAGGTGGGAAATGCTAAAAATGTTTTTTAAAAATTTTTTTAACTACAGCCCCGCTGTCGAAAATATCTAAAAAGTTCTGAACAGTCTTCAATTCTTCATAAATAAGCTTCATTGAGTAAATTCTGTGCTGTTTGCAAATCCAAATCAGGACTCTAAAGGTATTTTAAAACAGGTATTTTGGAATATAGTGGTACATGGAAATCAAATTCAAAATTTTCCATTTGTTTTTTCAAGTTAGAGGCTTCATTTGTTTCAGATATTTTGTTTAAAAAAAGATTTTTTTGTCAAATCTTGCAAAATATTAAAATACCCTAATCTTATAGCTATTAATCGTTTGTTACAACGGTCGTGTAGGACAAAGATTACTTCAGTTTTTATCTAAATGCATCGTGGTTGATAATTTCCACCAATTAATGATATAACAAAAAAAAACTCTTTGTTCCTACAAACAGTGAAATGTTGGAAATTCATGGCATCACTAAGCATAAGATTTAAAATCTGAATAGCACAATGCCCGAACTACAATTTGCATTCTCAACTTCATCTAATTCTTTTTATGAACACCATTGTGAATTCCCCTCATAACTGCTACGCCATCATATCTGTGACCTCTACATTTCGATTTCGATCAATGCCGTGTTCTTTCAAGCTCTGGACAATGTTAAAATGCAACCCTTGTGCTGATTGATCCTTGATTTTCTTAAACTCTCTGTAAGATCCATTAATTTGTTTGTTAATTGCTTTGCCATATTCATTTTTCTCAATGGTTATATACTATAGTAAAATTCGATTTAATTTGTCAACTTTTGATACCTATGTTTTGTGTTATTATAATAAAGAAACGCCCCTTAATTTATTAATTCTATGATTTTATCAGACTCAGTCTTAAATAAAAGACTTATTTCATTTTGAAATTGGCTACTTCAATAGCTCGGGGCCCATGGGCATGGCCCTCTTGGTCTCTAAGGAACTTTCGCCGCTGGTACCCAGCCAGGGCCGGATTAACCCCTTGTGGAGCGGAGCTCGCCCTTAAAATTCACTTCATTTCTCGGACATCTGTTCCGAGAAAATCGGACTTGTACCACAGAAATCTGCCCATCACCAAGGTTCGCAACCCATCTTAACCCATTTGAGTCCAACCAACACCCTCTAGAAAGTTAATTAAAGTAAGTTAAGTTAATAAAGATAAAGACCCATCTCGATTAGGTTTCAGTCCATTTGCTCAATGAAGTTGAGCAAATGCTGAGATGACCCCCTTGTTTTGCTTCTGGACGTAAATGTAGCTTCTCTATGCGCACGTTTTGTTGAACTCTCTTTTTGCTTGTAATTATAAGAGTAGAAGTCGCTATTTTGTCAGCAATGCAGAAAAATCATACTTCCAGTTCGTGTACCGATACAAATAAGTTTTCTATAACTCGGGAACAAATATGTCTAGGTTTTCAAATGGAGGCTACTGTCGCGCTTTTCAAAAATATATTATTATTAAAATTATTATTTTAAAATTGTTTTTAACCTTTATTCATTCTTCAACTATTTATAGTAAAAATGATAGGAAGGTATTCTGGAACTAAAGAAAAAGTGCGCAGATTATTTTCTTCCCCAAACGCAACATAGTTTTTTTACTACATAAATCTAAATCTAAATTGAAAATAGCGTAGGCCCAACGTAATTTTGTGCCCATTGCGCTCGCCCATTGCCTCTCCTTCCGAATTAACCAAGGGCATATAGCAGCTAAGCACGATTTTAGATGAAGATTCGAACCGAGACGCGACATGAATAATACACCCTGGCCAGAAGCGTACATTTCTCGGCTAAATTGACATCTGGAGATCGGAATTAAAATAATAATAATAATAATAATAATAATAATAAATAAAAAATTAAAAAATGCTTATATATTTCATTCAGAATGTCTTCGTTCATTGAAGACACACAATTCGCAAAATAATATTTCAGATAAGAAACCCAACCCATGAATTTGTTCCATTTTTGGAACAGTGCGCTGAAGTGGAGTCTCGCGCGTCCAGGCTTTTGTTGATAAGTTCTGCAAAGAGCGACAAACGGTAGATCACGATACGGTGTCTGAAATGTGAAGAAGCAGGTAAATCCACGAACGATAGACACATAAAAAGGAAGTATGTGTGTATGTGTGTGTGTATGTGTATGTGTATGTGTGTGTGTTTATATATATATATATATATATATATATATATATATATATATATATATATATATATACACACTTGCAACAAGGATTAATAAGTTCGAGAATATCGATTCGCCTTTCTTTCTCGAACATGTTCTCGATGAAAGTCGTTTTTTGTGGTGTCTTCTCGTGAGGCCTTTCTCGCTTACGAGAACGAGAGAGAATGTGTGACATTTGACAAAAATTTCCACTACTTTTCCCTCCCTTTCTTTCCGTTTTTCTGTCTCAGTTCTTTTGGGGATTTCCTTTACATTTTTATGAAATTTGCGGGGGCTCTTCTAAACCGCGGGCCCGGATCTGGGCATGTAGCTTTAGGTATATTGGATAACTAGTAAATGGATCAAGGCCTGTTGTTGTGGTAGTCTGTTATTTTTCATTCTTTCTGTGTGTTTAAACAATTTTCTTTCGTATTCCTTAATATATTTATATATTCTCTATTATTCTCCCTTAATCCAGGGGTGGCCAACCTTTTCAGCAGTCGCGCCAGATTTTACAAATGTGATTTTCTGTCGTGACGCACAACCAATTTTTACTTTCTCGTACTCATTTCGTAAGAAGAGAAAGTATTGTATTCGTACGCCGTAAAAAGGCGAATTTTCGACAGAAAAAAAGTGACTACAGAACGGCGGTCTAGTAACAGCAAACCTCGGTACCCCCTCCCTCAAAAAACGTGGATCCTCCCGATACGCGGGGATGAAGTTCGCGGAGCAGGGTGGAGGCGTGTGTTTGACCAATCTCACGGGAACTCTTTTCTAAACGGGCAGAATGTCCGTTGCTGTTATAAAAAAAACTATGGGCCTGTTTTCTTCGCATCCGCACGAGCGCCGCTGACAGTTGGGTTGTAAATTCGTCTCTCGAGAGGGCGCACTTAGCGTTGGGGTTCATTTTACGAGCGGTCGCTTGAATAGGGGGCACTCACTTGACATTTGACGCGGGGTGTCCTGCCATAAAATTTCATACAACCCCTCGCCTCAATAGACGAACGGGCGCGAGTGCCACTGCCTACGACCCCCCTTTCGCAGCTGCGTCGTGGGAGTTTGTTTTTTTTGTTCCCCTTTTTTTCCTCATGGAAATTTTCCAGTGCATGAGCTTGTACCGTTACAATATATATATATATATATATATATATATATATATATATATATATATATATATATAGCGTATTTTCCACAAGTAGTATACACAATAGTATTTTCAAAAAAATTCTCAAAAATGGCTACATATTTTTCAATTATTAAACTTTGTTCTCGGATAGTGTAAAAGGCGCGTAAGACAGATATTGCTCTAATTTTCATTAAAATATCTTATATTTCGAAAATTGCAAAACTTGAAACTTTTTTTCGGCGACTTCCTACAACTACAATATAGAAGATACCGCTTTCCCCCTTAATGATACCGGTTTTTCAGACAATGAAATAATGTTATGTACAATTTTTCGAAAATAAGAGTAGTTTTCTTATCATTTTGCGTGCGTAGTCAATTTTTAAACAATTTTTTCTCCTCAAAAACGGCACCAGCTTTTTTTCTTTAAATTTTCTTCTTGTACATATCAAAGGACGGTAAAAAAGTGGCGTTACTTCCATTTCCGGCTCTGTATTTGCAAAAATTGTAACATTGCCATACGACAGTATAGAAGATAAAGATTTTTCTCTTAAATAAAATCTTTTCTGAAAAATCAGATCTTTAATAAGATCAGGTACAATTTTTTGATGAAACGATTAGTTTCTACTTAATTTCTGCTTGAAGTTAAGGCAAAAGAATCTCAAAAACACTTCAATTAAAAAAAAAAAATAAAGCAAGGATCGCTTGAAACAATGGTACAGATCTAATTTTCATTGAACTCCCAGAATTTTCGAAAATTGCAAATATAGTAATAATGCAAGAAAGTATGGGCTGCTGTAGCATCACTAGATTTGCTAGTAGAATGGCTACTGCATAACTAGCTTTTGTACAAAACAGTTAACCTTGCGCTGCTCCAGTATATATTTGACGTTGAGCAGGCCGTTTTCGTTTTAAGTCATTTATTATTATATAACCACCACCAACAGTATAATTAATGTTAAATCATATTATTCTCACGCTTACTTGTATTAAAGTTCGCATTACTTACCGATCATAGGTAATAATTTTTCATGAAAATAAGTAATTCGGCTTGTAGATAAAATCCATTCCATCGAAGCCTATTTTGAATAGCGGCACAAGAATTTGAGTGACTGAAAATGTTAGGCTACTACTTTATTTTTTGTAATTTCTATATCTCGCCCTTTTCTCCAATTAAATTCTGGCATAAGAATTCAGAAAAAACAAACAAGCTAAAAACTCGATTTAGAAGAGCTCCCGCAAATTCCATAAAAATCTAAAGGAAATCTCCAAAAGAACTGAGACAGAAAAAGGAAAAGAAACGGAGGGAAAAGTAGTGGAAATGTTTGTCAAATGTCACACATTCTCTCTCGTTCTCGTTCAATGAGAGCTCGCACGTATGTTGCATAAAGCAACCTGTTCTTGTTCTCAGTGATGCCAGCGCGGCATTCTGAAATAACACTTATGCCGAGTATGATAAACATTATTTATTTTGACCGAATTTAATTTCAATGTAATTTTATACGAAGAGTAAATAGCAATTTTCTGGCGATATTATCCCCTCCTCGAGCTGTAAGCTAGAGCTCTCTGATATTATACCCATTTTGTAGGAATACAGACCGCAAGCGCCTAGAAACCTAATAAGTTGCACAGTTGCATAACCTGTAAACGGGGAATTCCAGGAGGGAGGAGGGGGGATAAATCTGACCTCGTGACTGGGGAAGTGCGTTGCCCGGAGCGCCGACTGCGTCGCAGAGGCGGAGGTGCTGGAGCGGTCGGGGTGACCTCGACGTTGATGACGTAGAAAATTGACGAATTGGAATTCGTATAGAAGCAACTGAAAGGCCCTGGTCTTTTTGATTGGTGAATATTTGTGATATTTGGGCTCGGGAATCCAGGTAACGGTTCTATTTTAGTAACAAATGCGTTCAATAAAGTGAAGTTAATTATTTCTAATGGGCAAATTATTGTCATGCAATTTCGATATCTTTAATTAGTGAGAATTGCATAACCGGATTAAAATGCATTAGAATGAAGGAAACGTAAATTCATGCTATGTCAATTTCTAAACATACCACCCAAAATAAAACAATAATGATGGTCTCTTTGGCTATCTATTAGCAAATTGTGATCAATGATTTGCAATGCTACTTAAAATATTACCTATGTATGAGATTTCTTGCTCCTTAACACGATACATAAATAAGAGGTCCCACGTTCTTGCTCCTTATGGCAGTTGGCTAGGACACAATGAGACAATATTTTCATGTTTTGAATTATAAAATTAATTTTGAATGGTATTATTCAAATGTTTCAACGATGTAACTGTTATAGTAATAAATTTTAAATAATTTCATGAATTTGAACTAATAATGTATTAATTGAAAACTGCAACTACCTGTAAAAAAATTGATTACAGTTGTCTATAATATAATATAAGAACTTAATACTATAATATAATATAATATAAGAACTTAAGAATGCTCTACAATATGTGTGTGTGCAAAGACTTAATTATTAGTCTTCAAAATGTTCTCTTCATTTGTTGTTTTCAGATTTTTTCCAACATCCTTGAGACTCGTGCTTCTTGAAGTATCAGGCAATGGAATGGGCAAAGATAGGGGTACAGGTTGTCAGCATGATGTACCGTTCCCAAAGTATGACCTATCATGATTATTTGAACCACTTAAAGTATGTCTGAAAATGTTATATTCTCATTGTTAATTTGTTGTGCCAACAGACGAGAACTTTCATGAAGTAAAACGTGAAAGAGATGTTTATAAAAAGGAAGGCAAGTTAATTTTTTTGTACTTTTAATTATGGGTATTACCTTTGAGTTTAAAAAACCAAAAACATTAAACATAAATATGTAGGCTTAAATTGACATTTAAGCAATATTTACTATTTTTGTTTTATATGAAAGATAAGTCTTTCCAATTTGAGATGACTTTGAATAGTTTTTCAGTGCATAAAATTTCAGTGCAGAAGCTTGTGTAATAATTCTCCAAGGAAAGAAATAATAGTTTGGTGGTTTATGATCTAGTTAATTGAAAAAATGGGGAGCTAACAATTGACATGTTAAAAAAAGAATATGCAGTTTTTCAGGAAATCTAAAGAATGACAAAAATATTCAAAATGCAGTTCTAATTCTAAGTGAAAATAGTAGCATTCAGTGAAATTTGTATTAAACAACCACTGTTCATTCTGAGAAAATATAGATTTTTAAAAGGGTTCCTGCGTAATTGGGGAAATCTCTCAAAAAATGGTATATTATTAGTAGACTTCAAATGTTTAGGAAAGTGCATGATAACATGTATTTCTGAAAGATTATTATGAAAAAATTAAATTATGAAAAATTGAACATTTTTTGACTGCACATTAATGAATTTTTTTCCTTTGACTAAAATGGCTTTTTTGATTTAAATTGTTATATACTTGGGCTTAAATGGCTTTTTACAATTATTTGCTAACCTTTTAAATGCATATAAAAGTATTTATCTTTCTCATAAAATGTTAAATCATTTTCAGTTTTAGTAACCCCAATACTTCTATTGGGTGATGAACTACCATATCCTTGTGTATTCATTCTACATTCTGTGACTTAGAAGTGCTATACCTTTTTTTTCTCACTCTTCTACACACAATAAAAAATAAATTTAAAAACTTCAAGTGGTTGGACTTGGATAAGCGCTGCGCACAGATTCCGGTCATAACCCAGTCTCTTGCATGTTAGGGAACAAGTCGATAATTCTGCCTTCTGTCAATGATAGTCTACCACACCAGATGATCTTCCAGCAATGGAAGACAAGGAAGATTGTTAATTCAAAGAATTAAATGTTAGGTCACTTTCATACCTTTTGTCTAATTAAAAGAGATGGAATTCAAATGGAGCAAGCAGATGTGATTCCATATAAGGGGCCACGGTTTATTGTCTCTAGATCCCACATCCTCACTTTCCATGAGAATGAAGCTAAGGCTAAGGTATTGTGAAAATACTTTTTTTAATTTTGACAATTTTCATTTTTACCTAATGTATAGTATACGTTGCTTGAAAGTGGTCTCTGAAAAGGGGTAAATTGCAAAAATTGCTATGAGCTGTGAACAAACATTTTATCAGATTTTATATCTATGTTAACACACTACATGTTATTTCTTTTTCAAAAAAAATATTTAACGTAGATCATTATTCTGTTTTGTATCACTCTATGCAAAAGTAGTAACATTTTTGTGGAACCCAGGTTGATCAATACCGATACTATTAATTCTTGCAATGTCATTTTAAACGGAAAGTTAACAGTCAAATTATTTCAACACAACTGCTGTACTTCAATTTCAACTGAACTATAAAAAAATCATATTTACTTCATAATAATGAATTTATTGTTGAAACACATTTGTAGCTTATATACATTAACTGAATTAGTTTTAATGTCTAGTAAAGCAACAACTTCCTTTAATGAAAGATTACATGAATGTGCAAGTTCAAGGCATATACTTTTCTTGGAATGGAATTTTTCGTGGTTGCTTTCTCTGCCTGAAAATAATTTGCCAATAATCATATTCATATAAATTATTTTTGTACATTTATATCAAAAATATTACACAACAAACTAATTGCAAAATTATTTTTCTCTTGCAGCCCAATGTTTGAAGTCTCATTTACGTGATGTAAAGAGATATGCTAATGGTAAGGTTCATTTTTTTTTTTGCCATGTTTTAATTGGAATTATTGTTGCATCTGCATCAGTGTATCTACTGTTCTGAGTTAATACACTTGGTTTACAGGAAATGCATACAGGCCTAAACCCAACACACACAACTACAAGAAGTAAGTTGAATGATAATTGTTAAAAAATAATTTTCCTAAAATTCTTTCTTTTCTTTCCTGTGAGAGAATTGATTCTGAGTAGCAAATTGAAGTAAGAGGTTGATTTTAAATGCAAAAACTGCAAGAATACTGACAGTGTTTAAAATTCAAGTAATATTTAATTCATATGAAGTAATTGATTAGTGTCAGTTAATTAATTTTACTATAAGAAAAATGTTTTAAAAATAAAATGTCTTTTAAAAATAAAAAATAATTTTTCTGTGTGTCATGTTAGTTTTGGAAATTTTTCCAAAGTTAAGAAAATTTGTTGCCCTGCATAATGAACAAATTAATTCTAATTGAATTGTAGTTATTTACATTATAGAATGAAACTTACTACAAGGAATTTGGAAACTGATATTAATTTATTTGTTTGAACATTGTTTATAGGGATTTTAACAAAGGTCACCCTGAAACATCAAAGAGAGATGCGACAGCTCATAATCAAAAACAATTTACTGAAAAAAGGTCTTATGGAAATAGTAGAGGGGGAAATAGCAGAGGATTTGGACAAAATAATACACAACAATCATCCCAAAATACACAACAATCATCTTCTTGGTTTGGATTGTGGGGTTCTAGTTCTAGTTCAAGTTCAGGTAATGTAAAAACCAATTACAATGGTTCTGCGAATTCACGTGGTTCCTCAGGAAGAGGCAATTATTCTCACTCTAGAGGCAGGGGTGGTGGTAGAGGGAATGGAAGAGGAAGAGGTTCATCTCGTCAGTGAGGAGAAGTGAGAAATATCACATGCTTTTACCAGGTATAACCTTTGAAATAAATGATGCTGAATAAAAATTGCAGTTAATGATGGTGGCTATTTCAGTAGATTTCAGTGAAGTCATTTGGTAAAAAATGTTTACTTATGTTAGTATGAACATTTTTAAAAATTTCAGTAAACATTTTGAAACAATACATAAGACAGTTTCACAAACTAAGAGTTATTAGAAAACGAGGAGATATTTGAATGAAGATTTTGATATATATCTTGTCGCTGTAATTTTGTATACCCTGACACTGATTTTGTATATCTTGTTAAATTTCTGTATCTTGTTTGATATATATCTTGTCACTCTGATTTTGAGTATGTAACAGTGTGGTTGGGAATAAATGCTTTTTTACTCTCTCCCTCTCTCTCTGAATTATTAATTATGAAAGGTGCATTTTCACAAGCAATGAAGAATGTCAATAAGAAATAGCACAAATATGTTGACATAGGTATTTTTGGGGAGAAAATATTTCTTTCAGTTGATAATTGATTTTCCATTATTTTCTCATTGATTTGACCGTAAATTCTATCATTATTGTAAGTAAATATTTGCATATATTGTAAGTAATTATTGTAAGTAAATAACAATGGTGCTGACGAGAAAGGAAGGAAAGGATGGCATTTTTCACTATTAAGAAAATATAACTCTTTAAATGAAGTGCTCACAATTCTTTTACCTCTTGCTTCTAATAAAAAAGTAAATTGGAAAAAAAATATATCAAATGCATTTATTCATTACAGTTTAAGCTATAAATATATATAAAGATAAACTTCAAATTGCCCAATAAATACAGAGAATAACAAATGTAAAAAATAATTTGTAAAATTAAATTTAAAAAAAGTCATTTCTTGTATTACAATAATTGCCCTGATAATTGTAGTATTGGGTATGGTAATTGATAATTATTAAATTATTATTTCAATATTATGCAATTTTTGTTAACCCTATAGGCCTAGATGTTTAATGAAACATAATTTATATTAATTAGTCATTACATTGTGATTAATGCAATAGGAGTGAAAAAGAATCATGAAAAAGAATCTCAAACCTAAACGCACCAGTGAGAAAAATTTGTAAATTACTTCTCTCTTCCAAGTAAAATTGTTAATGGCCAGACACATTTCGGATGACATGCCTACCGTGCAAGAGTGTCTGGAACTGTGAATGTGTGAATATAATGAAATTAATTAATTTGCTAATATGGAAATAGACAAATCATGCTGGTGCTTTGTTCACAGACTAATGAGTGGTGACAATGAGTTTAATTACTGTATTATAGATGTTAAAAATTTATTGTGGCAGGATAACTTCAAATAGGCTATTTGAGTTTTTTAGGGGTGGATCCATTGAAAAGCGAAGAGAAACAATTATCAGAAGAATCGTGATTTATAAAAACGTGCTTTTTCTCCTCAAAATATTATTAATGGGGAGAAGCATGCAACAATACAACAGTATAAGTGTTATATGATTAATAAACATTTTAAAAGATTTAATAAATAACCTTACTGGTAATGGCAATGATAATCTTCCCTCCACTTTAATAAGTCATCCATAGTTGGCTGAATGAAGAAAAATATTTGACAGAAGATTTCTCATCAACATTAATGATGTTAGTTATTGTTGTATTTAGAAGAATTTCTTTAAGTTACAAGGTGTTTATTTAAATGTAGATACAAAGGTGGTACCTCTTTTGGTAAATTATTTACAAACGAATCTCTTTGTATGTGTCAAACTATTTCCGTAACAGATGATTTTTGATTTTGAATGTGCAGTATTTTGATACTTCATGATAAACTTGTCCTTGAAAACTTGCAGTTTTCTGCAATATAAATACCTAGTCTCTGAATTTATTTGTTTCCAACCACTTCAAAAACTCAGTTAAGTGTACATTGAGTTATTGGAGTAATGACTTTTATCTGACCTTTTACACAGATACGCTTTATCTATGAATAGGTTCTTAAACATAGTATATTTTATTTGTAGACAAGGCAAGAGGACATGCAACATTTACACCTTTCAAACATTTGTAACATAACCTTTTTTGCATTGCATTTATTTTTGTGAAAAAAATAAGCGGGATTGTTGAAAATTCATTTAATCAAAATAAATTAATATTGAAGACTAAAACTCTGTAGATTTTGGTCTGAAGTAGATTTATATTTATTCAGTCAAAAACAAAAGAAACAGTAAAAACTGTATGTGACGTAGGGGGAAAAGATTATCCACGCATGTTTTCTTGAGTTCCAGAATCCCTTCCTGTCATTATAACTATAAATAATTGAAAGGTGAAAAAAAGTTTATCATAAATAAATAAAATAAATAAAATAAATAAAATAAATAAAATAAATAAAATAAATAAAATAAATAAAATGAATAAAATAAATAAAATAAATAAAATAAAATAAATAAAATAAATAAAATAAAATAAATAAATTTAAAAAATCGTTACATTAGCAATATTTGAAAAATAGTCATTTTCGTTTCTGAGTTTAGTAAACTTATTTGCATCGTTAAACAAATTGCAGATATGATTTTTCTGCATTGCTAACAAAATAGTAATTTAACCTTATTTCTACTCCTACTATTTCAAGCAAATGGTGAGTTCCACAAAACATGTGCATAGTGAAGCTACACTAAAATCCAGAAGCAAAACAAGACACCATCTCAGCATTTGCTCAATGTACCAGGGAAACTGGACAAAACCTGATTGAGATGGGGATCATTGACCCGGAAGCTGAAGTACATTATTTGTTACAAGCATATTAAGTCTTTTAAAAAAAAATATACAACATAAATGTAAACTAATTCATTATATATTACTGTTTTGCTAAAATAAACATTATTTTTGTTTTTGATGATCAGTATAGTCTCTTATAGTACAGAAACAGTTATGTAATAGAAAATATTTTACTTTTTAACTTAAATTTGTGGACCAACTTCAGTTGTTTAATGTCATTTGGCAATGCGTTGTAAAGTAACATACATGTATTGTATGTTGATTTCTCGTTGTGAGGCTGTTGATACTGACACTTGATGAACGTGATTTTTAAGACTTGTATTGTAATTATAATTATTGATTGCGTGAAATTGAAAATTGCATGAAAGTATGTTTCCACTGTTAAATAAGTCACTTTTGACAAATATTACAGATTCATAAATTTATAGGCAAAGCAGTGGTAACATTCTAAGGTCAATGAAGATAGGCTTGCAAGGGTAAGGCGGATGGCATTTTTTCATTATTGGAATAATTTTCTTTTGCAATCTAAAGGTCTGAGTACTACATGATGAGTTTCCCGAGAATTTTATACTATATCTCAGGTGGGAATGTAAATTTGCAAAATACACACAACGAGCTGTATGAAGGCTGACAGAATTTGATAGAATTCTGGATGTGTAACATAATGAACTTAATTTTGTTACCAAAGCCATTCCATTTGAGGTTTGACTCAATTGACAGACCTAGAAATTTTGTTACCTGAACATCACCTAATTGCATATTATTAATTTTCAATGGAGCATGCGATTGCTGATTTGAAATGCAAAATTGTATTATAACTGTTCTTCCTTCATTAAATATTAATTTGTTATTACCAAACCAATTTGAAATTTCTAAAATTGTACTATTTATTGTTTGTTTTTTGCAAAGAACATTTGGGTCATCAGCAAACGGAACCGTTCTGCTGTTTTTAATAGACGATGGCATATCGTTTACGTATAACAGAAAGGGGATAGGACCTAAGATCGAGCCTTGCAGATCCTTGCCCATATTCAATTGGTAAAGAATTGGAGAGATAAGTAAATAATGTCCTTTCGTGCGAGTATGGTATTTCTACTCATTGAAATGGATGTTTAAGGTACGAAGTTATCCAATCTAGGGCGATACCACTAATTGCATAAGAAGGTAATTTTGATAGCAAGATGTGAAGGTCAATAACGTCAAAAGCTTTTGAAAGATCTAAAAACATTCCAATGGGTGTTTTGTTTTGGTCCATTGAAGCAACATCTTTAAGAAAAGAAAAAATAGCAGTTTCTGTAGATTTTGATTTTCTAAACTCGTGTTTTGAGACTGAAAACGCTTTGGTTTTCCTAAGAAAAGTTTTCAATTGCTTATAGAAAAGCCTCTCAATTTTAGAGAAACCTGACAAAAGAGAAATTGGACGGTAATTTTGAATTTCATTTTTGCTCCCTTTTTTAAAAAGTGACTTAATTTTTGCTGTTTTGAAAATATTCTCTGCATAAAAAAGCATTGATAATGTGAGTTAATGGGTGTATAAAGGCAAGTACACAAGTTTTCAATAAACAATCTGGAAATTCATCTAAACCAGATGAATATTTATTTTTTAGTTTACTGACTATTCGTAAGATTTCGTTAGAAGAAGTTTTTGAAATAAAAATCGAGTTGAAAATTTTTGGGAAGGTAATTGTGTTGAATTTGACAGTTTTAGTGCCTTAGTGAGTTCAGCAGCAATTCTAGAGAAGTGTTAGTTGAGGAGATTTGACACTTTTTCCAGACTACTGTATTCTCCTTCATTATCCTTTAAAGCAACATTCTCTACTAAATAACGAGATGATGTGGTCATATTTTTTACTATATTCCACATTGCTTTATTTTGTTACTAGCGTTTAAAATATCATGATTATTTTTCATTATTTTTGTCTGAACTATTACTTTTCTTAAGATTCTTTTGTATTGTAGTAGACATGGAAACTGGGTGATACATTATGATGTTGAGAAATAAAGTAAAGCGCACCTTTGTTTTTACATGATGTTCTTATACCTTGTATGATCCAAGTATTATTTTTTACGTGAAATATTTATTTTTTTCTTTTTGAGAGGAAAGCATGCGTTCAAGGGAAATGCAAGTTTTGAGAAAAATAGATCATATTTTTCATAGCGTTATAAACTGTGTCCAATGATTCTTTCAGCAAGTGGTCCGTAAATAATTTTATGTTAACTTCAGTGAATGCTCTTTAGTGAAAGACTGAATACACATACGTGAATAATTTGTGTCAGAGTTCATGTTATTAGTAATTGTAAGAATTTGTGCATCATGGTCACTGTAACCAAGATTAGTAGTTTTTATTTGGTATCTAGTTGTGGTATTGTTAATTATAATTTGATCTATTGCTGTTTGTGATGTATATGTATTCCATGTAGGTACATTCACTATAATATCTAAATTAAAAGAATGCAGTAAATTGAGAAACTGCTCTTAACATAAGTAACATAAAAGTATATAATTAGTACAATAGCACTAATAAATAAGAGACTAAAAGAAAGGCAAAGTATTGTTTTATTGCCCAAAATTACAATGAAATTTTATTAAATAAATTAATGTCTGACAAAGTGGGATTTTTCCTCTCACCTCTTCCAATTTCTTCCCCCTCCTTTTTTCAATCTTCTCATCACTCTCCTTTTCCTCCACATTATATTATTTTTGAAAAATCTAAGCACTAGGCATACTTGCTGTAAAACTATAGATAAAGGAAAAAGTATTCTGGAAGAAGTATGTTAATTTACCCCCGCCAATTATTTTAAACAAAGTATGTTTCAATATTCTTTATTTTATTTATTGCTTTTAGTATTTAGATTGAGTTATTTAGTAACTTTATAATATGCCTCCGAACTTCTGTGCTTAGAATGCACCATGTGGTGAAGACTTTTGATCAATTTTCCTGCTTTCCCCTCTTCAAAATAAAAATATTCATGGTTTTCTTTGATTAGTAAATCGGGTGCGTTAACTGCTAAAGCTATTACTCCCTCAAGTATAGTGCATGTTGTAATAGTATCTCATCAGTGTGGCAACGCTCTAGCCGGGACAAAATAAGCTCCCGACTGGTCTGACAAGTGTGACTAGTGCATGTGAGTCAAAGTGTAAGGGGTGAGAATAGGACAATGAAGAGGAAAGAAATATCGCGCGCGGTTTGTGGCCAGTTTGTAAGGGTACTGCTCTGGCATTTGCCTGGTGTTGACCGGAGAAACCACGGAAAGCTACCGGTCATAGCAGCCAGTCGCTAGAATTCTCCAGACTGGCTGAATTCGACCTAGCTGTCAAGCCAGTGCCAAAAATCCTGCCACAGTCGGGACTGGAACCCAGGACCTCCTGGTCAGAGGCACTTTAGGATTCCTTTGAGTAGATCTGTGTTGTAGAGAGTTAACTTTTAAGGTGTCTCAATATAAACAGTATCGTTGATATCTGATGGCTGTGGAGGTGCACCTTAGAGTAGAAGATGCACGATCGGGCACGGATTACGCACGGAGCAGCCACTTCGGTGCCCTGGCAGTGAGGCGGATAAAATGCAAAGACATCACACACACACACACAAACCCAACACCAAGACAGGAAAACGGAAAGAAAGGCAGAGAAGAGCAAGAAATTGTGGTCAAATACCGCATATTCTCAAATGAAATAACGACTAGACCCTCGAACGAGACTGCGACCCTCGAAAATCTCCTTTAATCGAGAACTCGCTCGAAAAAGGCGATTCGTACTCGGCTGCAAGCACATATAAGAATAGCCCTGTAGACATTTTCCTTCCTGTGTGCGCTATCGGGGCCTGTCTTCCAGGATATCAGCCATCTGATCTTATATTCACAGGCGGGCTATCAGGGATGAATGACGACCCCCCAGACTGTTTTGAGAGGGGCTCCGTAGTCCTATGTAATAAACCTTTTTGTTTTCGTAAATATGAGCAATCCATGATAAAATGGCTTATATAATGTGCAGATCAGTTTTTTGACTTACAGTGATAATGACAAACGGATTCTTACATTAATCTATCCGGATATTATTGCCGTATCAATGGTTGAGTTAGTATTATTTACTTATTGTACAGAGATATTAAATTTGAAAAAAAAAAAAAAAAAAAAAAAAAAAAAAAAAAAAAAAAAAAAAAAAAGTTCGGCATTTTATTAGATGAAAGGTCATCACTCGTGCTGTAGCCATTGACTCTATTTTCTAATAAATATGAAGTTTTATGGTTTTGAAGTTGTTAGGGTACTGCTCCAGCATTGGATATTGATAGAAGAAACCGCAGAAAACTATACGGCCGCTAGAATTCTCCCCCTGATAACGGCTGAACTCGGCCTAGCTATGTCGCCAGTGTCGAACATTCTGCCTCCACCAGGACTCGAACCGTAGTACCTCCCGGTTGAGGCGCTGTAGTGACGGGTTCATGCCCTGAGCCAGCTCAGCCGATCTGAGTTCAAGGAAAAGTCACAGATAGTGAAGCTGTGTTAAATGAAAATCGTCAGCTGTACTAATAAACTTCGTGGTGGCAGCAGAGATATTAAGGAATATAAGGATGTGAATATAGTAATTAAGGGAATATTTAATGAGGATTTTATGTAAGGAAACGAATTACGAAAGTTACAGTTTGATCAAAATAATCTGTATTCTTTGAAGGAACGTTCCTTGAAATATACTAAAAATACTTGCTCATCTCAACACAGAACTCTTATGTTACCAATTCATAAAGAATTCCGGCAAAGCAGTTTTCTTATCCTCTAGCTTCTGTCAGCAACATCAAGTACGTGTACGACCCTTTCAGAATCTGAAACAAATCATTTATTATATATGTAGCACCTAATACTGGTTGACATACTGTGAGAAGTGCAATATGAGCTTGGTTTCCTGAGATCTGGGATGTCGTACAAGTATTGTTGCCACATTGACCGCCAAATTGTTTCAAATTTGGCGCCTCGTTTCAAATAAAGCACTTTTGATGTTCTTTGAAGGCGTTTCAGAAGAAAGGATCATACGTTTCAAATTTCGCGTTCAGGAGATAGTCTAATTGTAATAAAAAAAGTCGCGCGAATTTCTTCCCGGTTAATCAAATACTCACTTCTTTCTTACAACGTTCCTTGACGGATATTGTCAACGGTTGCCTGTTTGTTCGGAGCGTCACAGGAAGATCGCATATACTCTCTGGCATCAACCTCTGGGCAGCCCCGCGTAAAATATACCATTGTCAAATTTCGCGAAACCCAGCGATTTCCATTTCAGACGCCACGACGCGACACCTACTCGCATTGTCATCAGAGGCACTGGTTGCATTCGTAACGTGAAGTAAAACAACGAAATTTGTAAAGAAACGTTTGATTTCGTCTGGGCAGAAGTAACTGTGACAACCTCTTAAATACTCGTTAATTCTTTCTCCAAGTAAGAATCTTTGTAAATTGTGTGTCGTTTCTTTTTCAGGGCACTCTTGTCTGACGGAAAACTATCGATAGAAGTGGCGATGTTTCGTTGCAGCTTCTGCTAATTGCTCTCCCAACTTATCTTACGCGTATTTCGCAGCCTCAACACGTATTAAGTTGAATTATGAATAAATGCAGCGTTTTGAGCTAGATTTGATATGAAAATATTCGCTCTCGTATAATAAAACCTATTTGCAAAGGCATATCAGTTACAGATTTAGGCTATTATCCCTAGTGCTTTACGTGAAGGAATCCACTGACAGCCGCGATAAAATGGAAAACGATTATTAGAATACCTGCATATTCCCGAAATAGCTCAAGAAAATAGAGATATTGAAGTTACTTTTACGTCAAGAAGCAAAACAAAGGGCCATCTCAGTATTTGCTCAAAGGATAAGGGAAGCTGGATGAATAACCTGATCGAGATGGGTTGTTGACCCAGAAGTTGAGGTACAATACTTCTAGGCATATTTGGTCTATTAGAATTATACAGAATAAATGTTAACATAAAATTGTACTTAAACTTGTGTATCGATTTTAATTGTTTAATGCCATTTGACGAGTTGCAAAATAATGAATATGTCTGTGAATTTTTTATAGGTAGCAGTTGGTACTGACACCTCGTAAATATGATTTCTACGTCGAGTGTTAGAGTTATATACATCTGTATTTGTTGGAGATATGTTCCCGCCCTTGAGTAAGTCATTTTTTACAAAGCCCACCTAAGAGAGGTGTACAAGAATCACGTGGGTGGGAGTTACTTATTATTCGTATAATTCTTTTCTGTTATCTTGTTACGGTATTTTTGTAAGGGAGTTATATGAAGTCATTGACCAGAATGTTGTGCCATATCTCAAGCGGGAAGGAACATTCGCGAAATATACACGAGCAACATTGAAGTGAACTGATTTTGAGAGAATTATGAATGCGTAGCGTAATGAACTTAATCGTGTGTTCAATTCATTAGAGTGGATGTTCTATTAAAGGTTGAACTGAACAGAGAGACCTAAAAAGTTTGCCTCAACTCAAGTCACTGGCATATCGTTTATAATCAATGGAGTAGACAATTGTTTACTTGAAACGGAACACTTCTTTGAAACCGTTTTCCCTTCGTTTACTATTCTAATTTTTTATTACGGAACGAATTATAATTTGTTATTACGAATGAAATTTGAAACATCTGATATAATAGTAGTTACTATTTCTTTATTGCAAAGAGTTCATGTATCATTAGCAAAGATATATGTTCTACCATCTCGAAGAGCCGAGGGCATATCATTTATGTAAGAAGTAGAAGAAGATTATAGTAAGAAGAAAATAGGATCTAAAATCAAACCCTCGAGATCCCATGCGCAATTGGCAATGCATTGGAAAGCTGAGTAAATAAGGTCCCTTCATTTTAGAGAGTATTTCTCCTCGCAGAGGTAATTGTTTAAGATACGAACATAACCAATCTAGAGCAATACCACGAATTCCATACGAAGGTAATGCTGCAAGGAAAATATTAAATATGATGTCAAATGCATTTCAGGTATTTCAAAATATACTCATAGGTGCTTTATTTTTACTTTCCCTTGTACGTACGTATATGCATAGTATATGGAAAGTAATGCTGCGGAATATCGATTTCGAGATTTCAACGGAAATACACATTTTGGGATCCCCTGATATCGAAAAAGTGTCTGTCTGTCCGTCCGTCCGTCTGATGTATGTGAACAACACTAGCGCCTAAACCATGCTTAGGGGTTTTTCCAAATTGAAGAAACTCCTATCAATTTGGCCTGAGTCGAAGCTCTGCAAATTTGAAAATCATTCATTCGATTTTGGGGGTACTTTACATGAAGTCCCTGGGACATTTTCAAAATTTTCTAAAAAATGGCTCAAAATTTTTTCTTTAAATTTCTTGTAAAATACACTTATAAAGGTAGCAAAGCTTTTCACGGTTATCACTGAATTTTCAAAAATTTCAATAGTTTGAACTTTTTGCCAGTATTAAAGAGAGATTTTTCCTTCAAATTAAATTTGTTGTCCATAATTTGTTCTTTCATTAAGGTCGTCTACATTTTTTTGAAAATTTTAGTAGTTTTCGCACAATATTGCGTGCAATGTCAAAAAATTACAAAAGCAAGCTTTCCCAAAAAAAGGCTACAAATTTTTTCTTTAAACTTCTGGTGGGGATTGTGCTAAATGCACTCTATGAAATGACATAAACGCCATAATGCTATATTCTTCTGTTTTTTCAAAAATGACAAAAATTGTAATTTTGTTGACTTCTCTTTCACGTAGTGGTATTGTGGTGAGTTATCGTTGGCATATACATTGAAATAATTATGAGTCGTCATTGCCTACAATATTGTTGGCAATGACGACTCATAATTATTTCATTGTCTTTCACGTCCTTAATATTTATACTAGCGATAATTTGTTAACATATTTATGAGTATATGTGCTTTAAATAACGTAATATAAAGCTTCTCGAAAACTTAATCAGTTTCTGTGAAAACTAGATCAAAATTTCGCAATTTCAGAAACGCTCAAATGCTATTTTCTCAAAAACGACTTAATTTTTTTCCCAGATTTTTCCAAAGGTTAGTGTTAATTGCACTCTTTAACATATTAAAGAGTGCAATTAGCAATAACCTTTCTAAAAGTTTGAAAATATTACACAAAGTAAATTTTTCGAAAGATCTCTCACGCCATTAATATGCACATTTCCAGTAATTTATAAACACTATTGTATTTATGAGTTGAAGTACTTCAAATGGTTTGTCGAAAACTCAAAAATTTTCTGTGAAAACGAGCTTCAAATTTTGAGTTTACAGTACCGCTTATACGAAAGATTTTTAAAAACGGCTCCAAATTTTTCGAAGGAAATTGCCATTTAGATCTTGGTTTTATTGTTCTTTAATAATCTTAAAATAATATTTCCGCTTTACAATTAGGAGATCGAAAAATTAAAAGAATTTTAAAAATATTAACATTGGGCGGCGAATGGACTGGCAAGAGGATGGGGCAAGTCAGAATAGCTAGCCCAGACCGAAGAAAATAGAAAACGAATACGAAAAAGTTTGTCCCATTTATAGCAACACCAGCTACTTTCTTGTATATGTGCGTAATTACAGAGTAATATACGTAGTATAAAGTTATGTAATGTTGCGGAAAATCGATTTCGAGATTTCGACGAAAATCCACGTTTTGGGGGCCCCTGATACCGAACAAGCGGTTCTTTTCAAAACGTCCGTCTGTGAGGACCACTAGCGCTTAAACCATACGTAGGATTTTTTCCAAATTAAATAAACCCCTAGTCCATCTGGCCCAAGTCGAAGCTTTGAGATTCTGAAAAACTTTCATCAAAATTCGGGGATACTTTACATGAACCCCGGACATTGGCAAAATGTTCTCAATAATTGCGCCAAATTTTACAAAATTGTAATTTTATTGCAATATCTCTCACGTTTTATACCCACATATCAGACGATTTATATACATTACTGCATTTGTAAGTGCATGTGTTTCAAATGACTTCCAATAAGGTTTTTCGAAAAATACTTTGCTGTGAAAATGAGCTCAAAAGTCCGTGATTTCATCAGGAAATAGAAAACTACTAGGGGGAAAGTGTGTGCCATTCTGTAGCACCATTAGTTATCTATTGATGAAGCGTCATCTTTAAGAAAAGAAAATATGGATGATTCCGTAGATTTAGATTTTTTAACTTCATGTTGGCAATCTGACAACGCTTCGTATTTAGTGAGAAAGATTTCCATTCGTAGGTTGAAAACTCATGAAGGAGACATTGGCCGGTAATTTTGAATTTTTTGTTGCATTTTTGAAAGGTGATTTAATCTTAGCTTTTTTGGAAAATTTCTGGAAATGTTTCGGTGCTTAAGGATGCATTATATACGTTAATCAACGGTTTAAAAACAACAGGAGATAAAGTCTAACAAACAAAAGTTTGAAAATTCATCTCACCCGAGGAATATTAATTTTTTCAGTTTTCCAAATATTTTGACATTTCATAGAAAGAAGTTTCAGAAACAAACATCGTGTCGAACAGTTTTTTTAAAAGGCATGTTGAATTTTGAGGATTTAGATCTTTTGTGAAATCAACAACAATTTTCGAAAAGTAATGGTTGAAGAGACAGGACATTATTGCCAAATCGTTTACTTCTCTATTTCTATAATTTGGATTCCTTATATGGTTCCTTCATCCAACCAGTATTAAAAATATGTGTATTAGAAAAATAACTAGAAAGGAAAGATGAATTGACCTTATATATTATTAATTATAATTTTAGCAATATCAAATTAAAGATAAATGCCAAAAATAGTAAATAATTAGGGACGGACGGAGTGTGATGGCTGTTGTGGCATGGCACTCACCGGGACAAAGGTGTGAAGGGAGTATGATGGGGGTACTCACTGCAGCGAAGGTGTGAAGGGAGTATGGTGGAGTACTCTCCGGGGGGAAGGTGTGGAGGGAGTGTGGTGGAGGCACTCACCGAGGCGAAGGGGTGGAGGGAGCGTGGCGTAGCGCTCACCGAGGCGAAGGGGTGGAGGGAGCGTGGCGGGGCACTCACCGAGGCGAAGGTGTCGAGGGAGAGCTCGGTGAACTTGCCGACGGTGAAGGGCGTCCTCTTCTGCGCGCGGGTGATGACGATGCCGAGAGAGCGCTTGCAGGCCGCGTCCGCCTCGTACCACTCGCTGCTGTACGCCGAGTCACCCACCGCGTCTGTCTGCACAACCACCACAACCACACCACAATGTCAGATCGGCCTTGGTGACGGCGATTAATCGATGACTTTTCATAAAGCTGCGGTTCCCGCGCAAATATTATTTGGTGTGATGTCTAGGAGCAAAAAGCAAATTCTCGTTGCCCTCACTTCTAATGTACTAATAAAATGTTTTAACTGCCCTCTCTTGACTGTGATACACTGGTACATCTTCGAATCATACTTTGGCGTACTCTTTGTTCCAAATAACGGTGTCTTCTCCGAGTGTTTGATGAGCCGTAATAACTTTGTGAATGGCCCTTAATCGGGTCCCCGTCAGTTTCCTTTCAGTTCAGACTGTTTAACGAAGGAAGCTGGGAGAGCAGATTCCATTAATACAGTATTTTTTTGGAGCAACAAATTAATTTTTTTGTAATCACTTCAATCGAAATAGCAAGCTGCAAGAACTAAATATAAGTTGTAATAATTTTGTAATTTCATTCATTTGCATGCTTATATAATTTCATTTTTTTTTATTAATTGTGATGTGGAATTTATGTTATGTTGTGTGTTTTGTTGAACATGCAATCCTTGTTCCAAGACCACCCGGTATGCTATAATATTACATAAATTTGAAGTCCCTGCCCATTATTTCAAAACATTTACTTTTATATGATATCATATGGTTACTTACATTTTAAAAAGTCATTTCATTGTTTTTACGATTTTTTGTATGGATTTTTGTACGGGGTTCTCTCTGCACTTCTAAGCCAATTTTCATGGACTTTTTTCTTTTTCGATGGAATTTTAAAGATACCATTTTGTTGAAAAAAGTATTTCCGAGAGCATAATTAGGGTTTGGGTATTTGAATTATAATTTGACAATTATTATTGAAAGTTGGCTACAATAAATCTGTTTATGCTGCCTTAAGCCACGATGACAACCGTTGCAAAGAGGCGGGGGTAGGGGGCAGTACGGAGTGGGGTATGGAGTGATGGACAGCGACGTAACTCATTTCAAAATTAAACACGTGAAATAATGACATTATTATAAAATTAACTCTTCACGGGCCGGATCCCACGGCCACGTCCAAGCGCCCGAGAGATATGCTGCAGTAGACATAACGCTAATACTTGCGTGGAAGTTGAGGTAAACAACGCCAAAAGCGCGCGGAACGTTGTTGTATTTCCTGGCCTAGTTTATTTTCTATGTCACAGATCAGTCATAGATGTTCGAAAGGATGGGGATGGCTACATAATAGTGTGGCGAAATTGCACCTCGCGGCCACACGGAACTGTGCTGCAAAGCAAGGAGCGTGACGTATGGGTCCGCAATGCGGGCAGACCCAGGTAAAAGGTGTCCCGTTTTTAGGGGATATTTTTATTATTAGAAGTGCTAACACTACTTGTGTTAGCTTTACACCTCTGTAAAGAGATCCCGGATAAATGGAGTATTGCAGGCGGGTGCGCACTCATTTCAATAGGCAACTGGCGATGGGGATGCACTATTGATAGAATTAGTTCTTTTCGCTTATCTATAGTTGCGATACACAACCGGTCAATGCGGGCCGTAGTTGCAACTAACATTGTTGCCAGGCGCTGCCGGGAGGAGCGCTGGTCAGTCGCCAACCAGCCGCCGACCTGAACGCTTCTCCCGAGAACCCGCCAACGCTGAAGATGCCCAGCATAAAGGAAACGTTTGGCCTTTCAATGCCAATTGGACTAAGGCCTGTCAGCCAGGAAACTGGCACTAAAATTGACCTCGGCCGTGAAAGCCTACGATGCTATATTGCTGCCATTCTGTATATGCAGCACATTCAACACCCAGTGTATTAAAGACTACATATTTACAAATAGCCTACTTAAATAAATATGGGTTTGATCCAATGGTAAATGCGAACTCAGTTCTCAAATCATTTTTCGAAATGCAACAGCGATAATTTGGGGGAAGAAACTACTTACCTCTGCTGTGATTTTGCTGGCGAAGTAGCAGTACATCCACAGCTGCACACCTTCCCCCACGCAGAAGGCCGTCATCGCCACCAGTTTGATCGTGTCCGTGGGAAACTGAACAAAAGAGGTCAAAAGTACATTATTTAATCACAGTAGTGCGTACACGTAACGGAAAATACTCTAAAATGAATTGTACAAGTACTATTTTCTTATAAATATTTTAGTAATTAAAACACATTCCCGCGAAAATTGTATAGTAACTATGTGATTGGTAAATTCAAAATACATTGTTGTAATCGAATTTCCTTCACATGTATAATCAATAATAAGAGTTTCTCGCGATCAATTCAGTTCATTCAATCACCATTGGGTCAGCATAATTTATACTTTACAGCTAAAGGCCAAAATACAGGTAAAGTTAGGAGCCAAAGGAGTGTATACGAGTCAGACGGTTTGGATAAAGCTGTATAAATGAAGATGAACGGATCGTTTAGGATTTGTTTGGGGTTAAGTGGGCATTATCTTCAAGGCGCCGCCTGGTTTGTCGAGTGTGAGGCGACTTGAGCCTGTGGTATTTTGTCGTAAAAGTGCTTTGAAAATTATGCATTGGACAGAACCAAGGTTGATGTCGTAGTATTCCGTGGCCAGAGTCATGTGGGTGATCTGGGCTATCCGGGTGACGCCGTGTCGAAGGCTGTGTTGCCGACGTTTCGACCACGACACTCGACACACGACGTTTCGAGGAAGACCACGTCAGGATGGTCGAAACGTCGGCAACACAGCCTTCGACGCGGCGTCACCCGGACTGCGCAGATCACCCACAGAGTCAAGGTTGTTTCAGCTAAGGCCGAAAGTCGGAGCCGTGTCGCCCTCGCGCCAACTCGAGCCCCAACACTTTCCTCGAGCAACAACAGTTGATCAATTTGGGCTTTTTCTAGCTTCGATTTCGTTTATCCGCGCCGGGTACCCACTACTTCCTTCATGGGGACACATTAGGCGGCCTTCCACCATCGTTCTTAAACGCGCGCCTGGCAGCGAGCCACTTAGGTACACGTTTCAGAACGCACGTCTAAAGCGAAGTTCGGTTTGCGGGCAAGAGCGCGGTTCGGAACGCAGCGAGCAAAAGCGTGGCTCGCATTTAGTTTTCTTGGAGTTTTGTTGCGAGTGGACATAGTGACCAGCCGGGCGGTATTTTGTAATGGCGGATATTCGTTGCTGGAGCCGGGATATGGTGATTTCCATATATAGGGAGAGCCCTAGTCTATGGAAGCATAAAAGTTCTTTATATACTAATAAAAATTTAAAAAATGAGGTGTACGCGAAGTCATTAGGCTACTTTTCTTCTAATTCATTCAACAGCGGCTGGTGTTCATATTTTTGTCTGTACCTTTTTACCCAAACAGTGCGTTTTTTCTTCTCCATTACCTCTTGGTATAGTGTTCTGGCACTAATTACAAGCACTGCTATAATTGTCCTTTAATGATCGTGAACGGACAACACTTCCGATTAAGCTAATCGAAAAAATAGTAAACTGATTCACTACACACTATATAAACACCACAGGATAACACGCAACACGATCAGAACATAAATAACTGCACCAACACAGCAGCAGCAGCAGCGAGGAGCGTGGAACGCACGTGAAGACCGTCGGATCTCGGAAATCCCGCGCGCCGCACAAGAGCGCGCTGTAGAACGCTGCTGAGATCTTTACACGGACGATTTTACTCGAATCGTTCTTGAGTGGCGCGCAGAAGCGTGGCAAAAAAAGGAACCACACTCTTGCGCACCACGGTCCTGCCCGCGCCCTTGCACGCGCTCTAACTTGTGGTCAGGAACGTCCCGGTCAGACACGCGGCTGAGAATCCCGGTGTAAAGGGCCCTATTGACTCACCAGGCTTTCCGCGACAACACACATACATGAAAGACAAGGAACAAACAGCCATGTCCACGGCGGGACTCCAACCCGCGACCCTTCCGACCGTGGCGTTTAGTCGTCACACGTTCTAGCCACCCGGCCCATGTAATTCCACTTATTCTCCGATTAAAATTTCTCTACACTGGGCGAGTTACGAGAGGGGGTGGTGTTATCCATTCGGGAGCTTCAATTTCAACAATTGGAGCACATACTTTCTCGCAATATTTCTATCATTCAATTTTTTCGAAAATTCACTGAGCTCAAAGAAAATCGAGCATGTACCATTTTTATTAGCATATTTCGCAATACTTGAGAAAAATATCAAATAAAAAAAATTGGAGCCGTTTTTGACAAATGATTGTTGTTAAAATTGCCTTTATATTAAATAAAACTACAGGAAAACTACTAATATTTTCAAACATTTTTGCATAACCTTATTAACAGATCAAATTTTGAAACACCTATCTTATTGAGATAAATATCTCTCTCTTAAAGGTTGGAATACGCCAAAAAGATTAAACATGTGGCAATTGCCGAAAATTCAGATTATTATTGAAAAACGCATCTAGACATTTTTTGTAAACGTACTTTGCTCTAATGAAAGGAAAAATGTAAGAAAAATCTGGAGCTATTTTTGAAAACATTTTGAAAATGACATTGAGGCTTCATGTAAATTACCCTCAAAATCAATATATCAGTTTCAAATTGAAAAAAAGCCGCATCATCAGCCAGATCATTTGGAAAATATAATTTTTTGTGAAAATTCTTATTACAGTTTAGTAACTAGATTTATTAGCTCACTGATAGATGCACAGACGTTTTGCCGCAATCCAATTTTTCGGTATCAAGGACCCACAAAGCATAGTTCATTACAGCCGTCGATGTGTCGATATCGTATCATTCTCAAAGTTAACATACTGTTACACACAATAGTTGTCGCTAATGACCTCGAAGTTGATGCGATCTAAAATAAAAAAAAGATTTTAAGAGGGAGTTATTTACTACCTAATGAACCAAGAATTGCCCATCTTTTTGGAACCCGAGACCGTCTGTCGAAAAATCGCAATGTTTTACTGAAACATTACAATAATTTCTTTTGTAGATCAGCAGCATGCGAGAAAGTAAAAATTAAAGCTCCAGATTCGATAACAGTGCCTCTCTCCTTAATCATTAAGTAGAGAAATTTTAATCGGGGAATACAACTTCATATTTGTCAGTACCTATTCTCAGCACATGATGCGTATAGCAACACAAATACCACGTAACTTTTTCAAAAGAAACGACAGTCAATAACAATTTTCATTCGTTTGTGTGCACACATTCATGCTAGAACTTCATAGCAAAGTCCACGTGATGCCACTGGTCATGGCTCTAGGTGCTTTCGTCATATTCCATTACATCGGCCTTAACTGCGCAAATGCGTTTCCTCCTTACGTTTAAATGCTAGTCGTGTCGAGGTTTAAAATCTTATCAGACCGAATATCATATTCTCTCTTATTTACTGTGTTTCTATCATTTCACAAGTATCTAATTTAAGAATCTATGTTCCAACAATGATCTTGGGTTGATGAGGTTTCGAGAAAGTGGTATTCCAGTCAAATTATGATATTCTAAGGTACATTTTGTGATGAAAATTATTTTCCTTTCTTTGATTTTTTTTATTAAGTATTGTGACTGCAGAATAATGTACCTAATGTTTTCAAATCTCTTACTACCAGTGTCTGTAGAAAGTGGTAAACTTTGTTTTTGAAACTTTAAAATGTAATAGGTAACGCGTTTACACTCTACAATATTAAAAGAGAGATGTGATAGTCATTTAAGGGATCCGTCGAAATAGCGACATATTTCTTGCTAATACTTTTTTCTTATCATTGAAGTAATACCACGAGGGCTTTGGAAATAGTCGATAAATCTCTGACTTGCTAAGCGAGAAGGGGATTTATCTGAGAATTTCCAAAGCCCGGTATTAAGTAGGACTATTCCAAGAATGAAATTACGTCCAACAGAGTTCCAAAGAGCGCCAAATACTGAAAATAACTGAAAGCATGTTAAAATCAAAGAGGTTATGATATTGTACATTCATTGACATCGGCACAATGATCGATACATACCATCTCCTAAGAAACAAGAGTCGCATCTTATTATTGATCAGTAGGGAGGATCGGTAAGAAAAAAACGGCTAGAAAAATCAATAATTTCTTTGAGATACCTCGCTGTGGGCCTTTGGGGCCTTTTATAAATTCTAGTGCTAAATACTAATGGTTTTAATTTCATGAGTGGAATCACTCAGCGTAGTCTCTTTAAGAACAAAATCATCAACGTAATAACTAAAAATACTTTTTTCTCCCAGTGAGCAAGGAGTAGTAGTTACAAAATGGTAAATGAGGAACTATGCAATTCAGTTTCCTTACCATTAGAATTTGGAACGCTGTGGTACATAACACGACGGAACTTGTAAAAAACTGACTCAGCATTGGTTTATTTAATAAAAATTCCAGGGTTTCGATGTACCTGCGACAAAAAATTAGATGCCAAGACACATTTGTTTTTGGCGCGAAAGATATTAATCAAATGTTGCGGCAATATTTGAGTTTCCAAAAAATTATTGAAATTCTGCTGAGAACCATGTATCCTCCTTGCGCATGACGAACGAATAAGAATTTTATAATTGGTTAGAGTGAGTGAGTGAGAGAGAGAGAGAGAATGGGAAAGAGTGAGATAAAGTGGGAGAGCTAGAGAAAGAGAGAGAGGGGAGGGAAGTGAGAGAGAGAGAGAGGGGGGGGAGTGAGGGAGAAAGAGTGAGGAGGTAGAATAAATGTGCGGAAGAAAGAGTGGTTGCTGGAGAATGAACACGTCAGAGCTTGAGGGAGTGAAACCTGCGAGATATTGTCCGAATAATATATCTGTCTATTTGACAGCTAGCGGCTGGCAAGAGAGAAGGAATCTAATCAGAGTGAGGGGGTTATCCAATCAGAGGCTTCAAATTGTAATGCCACTGCATAGTTGCCGATGTTTATTGAAAAAATTAAATCTTACAATGCAAAGCTACTGAAAATTGAAGAGCACTGTTTGGTTATGCGTTTTCCTTTCAAAAATATTTCTATTTCGTACATTTTCCTAAAAATAAGTGCATTTTATCAGCTTTGCGTGTGTTGTGCAAACATATTCTCTTATTTCTTTTATAGCCGGGACTTGTGTAAGAGATCACGATAAAGTTCTTTATGAAATGAACAAGTGTCATTACTATTCGCTATTCTATTATTAATAAAATCAGTAGAACGTGCATGACTAAATTCTGAAACGTGCATGACTAAAATGATGCAAGAGCGACCATACGACCACGTGTCTGTCACCCTAGTTTGTGGCAACACTGCTCTACCCCAACCCCAGCTGTCAAGTAGACAGAAATATTATTCGGGCAATAGTAAAGCGGAGACTGAAAGTGAGCAAGCTACGGAAGCGCAAGAGAGCGAGCGGGGGAGAGGGCGAGTGGGAGAGAGAGTTTGGGAGACAGGGTGAGGGTGTGAGAGTGGGGGAGAGCTGGGGAAAAGATTGGGTAGAGTCGGAACAAATTTGAGGGAGAAAGCGAGTATGAGAGAGTGAACGTGAGAGAGAGAGACAGAGCGAGTGGTAGAGAGAACGAGTGAATAGAGAGCGAGTAAATAGAGAACGAGTGTGAGAGAGGGAACGAGTGTGTGAGAGAGAGAGCGAGTGAATAGAGGGTGAGTGAAAAGAGCGAGTAAATAGACAACGAGTGTGAGAGAGAGAACGAGTGAATAGAGAGTGAGTGAAAAGAGGGCGAGTGAAAAGAGAGCGAGTAAATAGAGAACGAGTGTGAGAGAGAGAACGAGTGTAAGAGAGTGAGCGTGTATGAGAGAGAACGAATGTGAGAGAGTGTGTGTATGTGAGAGAGAGTGAGCGTGAGAGGGAGCGAGAGCGCACTCGATGATGGCCTTGTGATGTTGCACCGCCTCGTTGAGTAGCTGTTTGTAGTGCGCGCGCCAGGCGCCGATGGCAGGACCCAGGTCGGATTGCAGCCCTGCGTCCTCGACCAGCCCTTGGCCAAGCCCTTGGCCCTGCCCCGGCCCCAGCATCGCCAGCGCGTCCGCCCGCAGTCGCTCCATGTCCTGGCGAAGCAGCTGGCACTGGCCGTACACGTGGTTGAGCAGCGCGATGTAGAAGTTGTCTGTGCCGGGCATCACGAGGATGTGGCACCAGCCGATGGAGCAGTGGTACGCGTACACCAACCAGTACGTCACCGGAGACGACGTCGTGTCGAACGGCAGCACCAGTCGGTACGGGAAGCGCCATTCGTACGAGCTGGTGCCGTTGGCGGCGAGCTCAGGGAAGGGCTCCTGGTAGAAGTACCACTCGGCCATGGGAAAGAAGTTGAGAAAAGACACCTAGTGTAGGAGATAACATCACAGAATTGGAAGGCGTTTTGTCGCCCTCGATCATAGGAACTACTTCACGCCTGTATTACATAAAATCTGCTACCACCACGGAATTTACATAAAATATTTTATTTTTTACCTAATTTTAAGCATTCATATTTACTTATTACGTACTAACTAAATAAATGTTAACTTGACTCGGTTTGTCTTTTTGTTTTCCTCCCATAATTCCCTGTATTAACTTCCTTCATAAGAGAACATCAATATCATTCAACTGTTTTCTTATTTCCCTGCTAACCACGATCCTCCCGATCCAGGTAAGTAATGCAATGTATATCGAGCTCCGAATCGAAGCCAATAACAAGCAATAACGTATCAGTAAAAATAATAGTTATT